CTGGGGCTGTGCTGTGTTTGGAAACCTCCTGGTGGTGATTTCCATCCTGCATTTCAACATCTGCCCTCTCCCACCAATGTTCTCCTGGACTCTCTGGCCAGTGCTGACTTCCTGGAGGGTGCGGTGACCGTCATGCCCTTCAGCATGGTCAGGTCCGTGGAGAGCTGCTGGTACTTTGGGCCAAGTTTCTGTACCTTCCACACGTGCTGCGATGTGGCATTTTGTTACTCTTCTCTCTTCCACTTGTGCTCCATCTCCATCGACAGGTACCTTGCTGTTACTGACCGTCTGGTCTCTCCTAGCAAGTTCACGGTGTCTGTGTCAGGGATATGCGTCAGCGTCTCCTGGATCCTGCCCCTTGTACACAGTGGTGCCGTGTTCTACACAGGTGTCTATGATGATGGGCTGGAGGAATTATCTAGTGCCCTCAACTGTGTAGGTGGTTGTCAGACAGTTGTAAATCAAAACTGGGTGTTGATAGATTTTCTATCCTTCTTTATACCCATCCTTATTATGATAATTCTCTGTAGCAGTATTTTTCTTGTGGCGAGATGACAAGCTAAAAAGATTGAACGTACTGGAGGCAAAACAGAATCGTCATCAGACAGTTACAAATCCAGAGTGGCCAAGAGAGAGAGAAAAGCCGCTAAAACGCTGGGCATCACGGTGGTAGTATTTATGATTTCCCGGTTACCATATAGTATTGACTCATTAATTAATGCTTATATAGGCTTCATAACCCCTGCCTATATTTATGAGATTTGCTGTTGGTGTGCTTATCATAATTCAGCCATGAACCCTTTGATTTATGCTTTATTTTACCCATGGTTCAAGAAAGCCATCAAAGTTATTGTGAGTGGTTGGATTTTCAAGGGCAGTTCAGCCACCATGAATTTGTTCTCTGAACAAATGTAAGCAATTGGACTGAAGAATAAAGAAATCTTTACGATTTCCAAATGAAATGAGTTTTAAAAAATCAAATAGGACTATTCATGAGGAGAAAACAAATTACTCTTCAAATTTAATAGGGTAGATCAGTGTTTTTCCAGTCATGTTAAGATATGCACTTCCTTGTCACTTCTCCAAAAGCATGCATTTCCTAATAAATGCTAAGTTTTTATTTGCTAATTACTTCAGAGCTCAGCATATCCCACTTTCTAGAAATACTTTCCTCCCTCATTTCTTTTCATTCACTGACTCTTCTTTTGTTCTAGAATGTCACCTGAAAACATCTTTGTTCTTCAATCCCCTTTCCTCTTGTCTTACAAAGTTTTTCACTCTCTCAAAACCTGTCAAAAATTTCACCTGTGAATTGCCTTCGTGAGGTTCTTGCTTTCTTTTGCTTTGCTTAATTTCCCAAGGGAGCCTTTTGGGTAGGAGTTAAATGTATTGTGCTTAATGTCTGAGGAGAGAGATTTGAAATATTTACCTATAAATTGCGTGTGGAGTAACACAGACACCTTGTCTGATTCAGAATCCGGAGAGATCTCTTGGGGGTTGGGGGGCATCTGCAAACATAGACACCATCCTGACTGGGCTGTTGTGATTGCCAGACAGATTACTCTGATCCTGTGTAATTATTTCCTCCCCCAGGGTAGGAAGCAGAAGGCATTGTATTTCCCCAAATGATAAATGATTATTTGTCTGCTCTTCTTGCTACTGCTACTGCTACTACTACTTAAACTGTGTAAATGGTTGCTATGGATAGCCCTCTGTGCTATGCTAGTCTGTTCAAACACACTGAACATTACTTTTTCATAGGGGGAGATTCTCTTCTGAAAGCAGTCTTTAGTTCTTTCTTTTTCTGTAACAAAACTTAATTTCAATAGCAAATTTGCTAGTTTTAGGAGATAAGTGGAATATACATCAATAAAAACATTCACGTATTCTTTTTTTTTTCACTTATGAACCATGAACCCCATGCCCACAGTGTACCAAATCAGTGCTGGATTACATAAAAACAGGTAATAGGATCCCACCCTTAAGAATCTGTAACTCTGGCAAGAAGCGATGTTGTTAACTGTGGAAAATTTTTAAAGGACAGACACTAACTCAGCTAGATTAAAGTCAGCTTCAACACTGACAAGTCATGTTGATAGCAGAGTGCCCTTGTCATGATGTGATGAGAATGGCATGTTATTTCTATGGTCTTTTTTCCCCAAAAAACCTATAACCGCAGTGTAATCAGGAGAAAAACATCAACCAAAACCTCACTGAGGACTATCCTACAGAATATCCGACCAGGGCTCCTCAAAACCATCAAGGTCATCAAAGATAAGGGGAGTAAAAGAAACTGTCAGGGTCTAGAGGAGCCTAAAGTGACATAACCACTAAATGTAGCGTCCTAAATGGGAAGCTGGAACAGAGGAAGGACAGTAGGGAAACCCGAGGAAATCTGAATAATGTATGGACTTTATCTTGATATATTAAAAATAATATATCAATGTTGGTTCATTGATCATTAGAAATGTATGATACTAATCTAAAATGTTAATAATAAGAGAAATGGGGTGGCAGGGTATAAGAACTCTCTGTACTACCTTTGTAACTTTCCTGTAAATTTAAAACTATTCTAAAATAATAAAAAGTTTATTTTTAAAAATGTAGGGTATACAATTATGTGAGGACAATGGGCATTCATCCTTATACTGACTCATTCACTGATCCATTTCACTAATATCTTTGAAGACTTAGTGTTCTGGGTTCTGGGTTCAGTGCTTCAGGAATACAGAACAAAAGCCTTAGAAAATCTTGTAGAAAAACTGATTTACTGACAATTATGGCTTGGAATTCATAAAGGTTTAAACGATAAAGGATGTGTTTGAGGATTAGCATTTCGCTGGAAAATCAGGGAGACATATTAAAGAAGTAGCTTTAAGCTGGGCCTTAAGAGATTAAGAAGTGTTTTTGCAGGAGGGAGAGGATGGAAAGGGATTTTCAGGCTGAAGGAATAGCATGACCAAAGAAACAGAGAAAGTGCACAGAGTGTCCAGGAAATATGGAGATAAAACAGCTAAACAACTACCAAGAGAATAGTCACCCTTTTGACCTTCCTCAGGTTGACATTCAAGCCCCTCCACCTTTCTCTCTCCCTACATCTCCCCAGGCATCTTCCGTTTCAAAGTGGAGACATTCTTACCTCTACCCCTCTGCTCAGATTTTGACGCCTCTAATTCTCCCTGTCTTCTGAGCCAACATTTCTCCAACGAGGTTTTACAATCATCCTATAAAGTACTCCAGGGAAAAGAAGTTTCTGCATCAACAATGTTTTGGAATGACTGCATACTATATCCCGCTCTTGGAGAATAACACGAGACACGACATATTAAAGACTCCGAGAAGTCCTGTTTCAACAAAAACCTGTCTAACATTGTTTAAATATGCATTTAAAAATTTGTGTGGAGTTCCACCTTGTGATGAGCTGAGTGTTCTTCTAGGACATAAAGTGCCATGTTCGGTGGATTGGGAAGAGGTGTGGATTTATTTCTAGGCAGAAGAAACTATGTTTTTTAAAGTAATGACTGATTTATACTTTGCAAATTATATTTATTCCTATATGTAAGGCACCGTTTCCTTGATGTCTCAAAATTTCATATATTAGGATGAATTTTAACTTACAATTCTTTTTTCATTTAACTATGTGATAATACTTGAGTTAATTAGAAAAGAGGATAATTACTTCCAAAGAAAAATTAGGCATTAAAAAAGTACATTGAAAAATAGTTTATGATAAATAATTTTTAATTAAGAAAAACAATAAAGTCAATAGGAGTTATCTTTCTAGCCAGAAAGAAAGAAATGGAGTGAAATGAATTCATTTCAACTAACTTCAAAGACAAACTAAAACATTACTTCTTTGGTTATGGAGATTGATTGGTTTATGTTCATATCTATGTTACATCTATCTATCTATTTGTGCTTCGAGACCTCAAATTAATTTACAAATAAGTTTTCCAAATAAGCAATTATTAATTTGAAAATATTCAGTAAGAAATGTGGGAGTTACTAGAGACCTGTTGGAAAAGATTTAGGAAGAAGACAGAAGCAAAATGTACATAAAAGATGTCAGTACCTGTACTAGTAATAGCTTGTAAGAAACACTTGGTTCAGTGCTGAACAAGCATGTGGCATAAGTACTCGTTTTTCCAAAGAAAATCATATACTGGTATCCCTGGAAAGATAGTAGGTCTAACTTATGTGATTTTTTTTAAAAGGAAGAAATAATTGCAATAGCAAGATGTGGATCATTATCACTTTACAAAATAATCCACTATTTCCAAGTTTCAATTATTAAAGGAAAAGGAGGAGATATTCCTTTAAGAATATGATACATTTACTCAGTAATCATTGAAGTGGATGAATCTGGCTTACCATCCTGTGCAGTGGTGGGGTTCCAAGCAGACAGGGATTCTAAAGGGAACATGTTGAAAAAGAAATTGTCCAAACACTTGAATGATTATGAAAAGTGATGTGAAATTAGGAAACAAACAATATTTCTGAAAGTTAAATTATGCAATATTTGAGCTTCAGGAGACCTTAGAGGACAAACAGTATGAAACCCTAATTTTCTAGCTGAAACTCTGTGAGATGGGAAGGAATGCAAAGATTGCCAAAATAGTCTCACCCTGCACTGCCACGTGGCAGAACCAGGATGAGAACTCAGAAATCCTAACCTCATGCTTTTTTCCCTCCACCTCTGTATCTCCTCTGTCTCAAGGAAGTAGTAAATAAGTAGCCCAATATTTTCACAGAATTTTAACTTATCCAAGAAATATCTGTAGACTTCATTCTCTCCTTTTCCTACATTCTACTATAGAAACGTTGAATAAAGAGAGGGCTTTATTTCTTTCTGAATTAGGAAGTTGTTTTTTCTCCACCACTTAAACCATGGTGCCCTAAAAAGCATGCCCACAAACTCATGACACCACACAGCCCACTGCCACAGCACCACCCATCCTTCCTGCAAGGACCTACCCCTTGCCTGCATTCCATTAAGGGAGTCATTCTTGGTACAAATCAATAGTGCGTGTCCGGGATGAGAAGATCTCCCCACTCAGGCAGAGTCTCAGTGCCTTTCTGAACCATCGGTAGGAAAAGACATAGATGATAGGGTTGCAGGCTGAGTTGAAGTAAGCAAACCAGATAAAGATGTCGAAGACCAGTGGTGGTGTTGATAAAGTTAAGGAGGCTGTCAACCAACGTGTCAATGGTTGGTGAAGGGAAGCCAGCACAAGAGGTAAATGCCCACAGCAATGCCCAGGGCCTTGGCAGCTTTTCTTTCACGTTTGGCAGCCCCGGCCAGGTTTTTGCTCAGGGTGCTGATCTGCTGAGCCTGCCTTGTGGCAACCACAAAAATCTTCACATACAAGCTGATCATGATGAGGCAGGGGAAAAAGAACATAGGAAAGTTTAGCCAGCCCCAAAACTTATTGAATAGCAGTTGGCAACTGCCCACACAAGGCATCTCTTCCAACCACTGACTGAGTCCATTTTCTACCACATCTGTGTAGAGGAAGAAGGCAGTGTAAGCCGCTGGGATCCCCCACCCTGCCAGGATGTACCTGATGGCCACCCTGACTGTGAACTTGGAAGGATAGATCAGGGGCTCGCAGATGGCACAGTGGCGGTCAATGGAAATGAAACAGAGATGGAAGATGGAGGTGAGGCAGAAGAGGGTGTCCAGGTAAGTATGCAGGCAGCAGAGGAAGTCTCCAAAGTACCAGCAGCTCTCCACTGAGCGAACGGTGCTGAGGGGCAGCACTAGCAGACCCAGAAACATGTCAGCCAGGGCCAGGGAAAGCAGAAAGAGGTTGGTGGGAGTGTGAAGCACTTTGAAGTAGGACACAGCAAACACCACAAACAAATTTCCTATGACTGTAATCAGCATGCCTACTGCACAGGCCAGGTAGATGGCCAGCTGAATGTCCAGAGGATGGACTGTCCTGGAGCAAGACCCATTCACCTGGTAGCAGAATGCTGTGGGGTGTTCTTCAGCACCTTGGTTGAGGACAGCGCTCATTTACGGTTTCTACTCTTCCTCTCTCTGGAACTGGCCACCTGTCTCAGCCAAAAAAAAAAAAAAAAAAAAAAAAAAGGATATAGAGGAGAAACTGAAGGACAGTTTGGAACTTAGTGCAATTTCCTTGGGTACTAAATCAAATGTGCTCCGAAAACCAAAGCAGCATGGGATTTAAGGTCTCATAAGAGTCACTTCCCTGCTAGCTCTGTTTTGTCTACCTGGGCCCTTTTGAAATTAGCGTAGACTATATCTTTAAGGAAAAAGAAGAAGAATGTAAGCTAAATGTTCCCGCAAAGACAAAGGAGGCTATGTCACAGTAGGTATTATACAATTATTGAGAGGGTGTCTCTTCCATTTTTGATAAGTTCACTTGTTGTCAAATGTAAAGTGAGATTTCAAGTTATGAGTCTGAACCAAGGGAAGAATTCATTCTTTGTAACAAATCATTACTTGGGGAAGGAATAACTTCTAGCTCCTCCCTTCAAAAATTAAATAAATCGACAGTATAATCAATAGCTTAAGCTTTTTAATTACATGTCAACTGTTCCCAAGAAAATAATTCAAAATACAAATAATTAAAAGCGCAGAGAATGACCTGATTTCAGTTGTGCATGCTGCACAATTTCTAAAGAGAGCACACATTGCTTATAAACTCTAAAGAACTCTCTGACATGAAAAAGTATTTTATCTCTCTTAACACTAGCCTGTGAAATTTTAAACAAGTTCTAATAAATTGAATTCAACGTTTCTAAGCTACTTACATAGGTAGGAATCAGAATCACTTCATCGGAAGAAGTCCTTCTTGTAGTGGGTGAACACAGGTATGTAGAATTCTCTCCCACCAGCACAGATAACAGATGCGCAATCAGTTAATGATTTTATACTCCAAATAGCAACTAGTCCTCAGTGTGGTATGTCATGCAAATGAGGGCTAGAGGAGCACCAAGGGACCTAGTTTGCAAGGCTCAGTAGTTTGAGGCTCCTTCTCAGGACAGGATCATTTATCCTGCCAATTAATTAGAGATGAAAATTGAAGACACTGGTTTTATATGTTCTTTAGTTTTATTTTTAGTGAGTTTCATATATCCCTTCTGCTTTAGGATTATTCGTGTACATTTCTTTCAACAAAATAGTTGAGAATAATTGATCATAAGCCCTTTGGTTTGTGACACTGCACATTGGATTCATCATGATTATTTTTTAGCTCTATGCTTTGTGTTGGTTAAAGAAATCACAGGAGATGAAACAGTTCCCTGAATACAGCAGAGTTAGGTTTTGGTTCTGTTACTACCTAGGTCATCACTTATCCTCTTCATCCCCCTGTCTCCCAATTGGTAAGAGAACCTACAATTAGACTTATGTGTCCTTACTTCACATGGATATTATCAAGGAAAATAATACATTCAATATATTCTGCTCTCTCTGATTCATGGTACCAAACCTCCAGAGGATGGAATGCCTCTTTATGGCCTTGGAGAGATCATTGCACAATATAAGTCAAACTGATGTTGCAAAAATGACATAATTCTAAAGGTTACAAGAGATTAGATCTGCCAGCGGGGCCTTTCGTAGAAGGTGTAGAGGTAAAAAAGAATGAAGGAAAGAAAATGGAGAAAAAAAAATGAAGGAGGTTGGCAGGCATCTCCACCTTCTCTAGAAAGCCTGGGCTAAACCCAGTAGTGACTGCTAGAAACTTGCCTTGTACCAAGTCCATGTGCATGGAAATAGATTTCTAACTCCAGAATTTGATCATCAGACCACGAAGAATCCTGCATTATCACAAACCATTACACCCTTTGGTTTTAAGTCATAGTCCATCTGCAATCAGCCAGGAAGTCCCACAGCTAAGTTTAATCTGACCAAGAGTCTGTGAAAAATAGGGACAAATGTCTTACAAATAAAATAAGGCCTGAAGAAGGAAATTCTCAAAAAAGTTTTGTGCTTTGTTTGTTTGGGGGATATATTACATCAAACCTTAAATGCAATATGCAATCACAAATCTATTTGGAGATGCAGAATTTTAAAAGACTGTTTCTAGTGGTATGACTGCTAGGTCAGAGATTACCTAATGCTCTGTGCCCAGTTTTCTCATCTATTAATTGAATATAATACAATATACCTACACCACAATTTTGTCATGACAATGAATGAGTATTAGGAACGGTTCCTGTCACAGAGTAAGCAGAATTGGACAGACAAGAGTGTGAGTGGATATTAGTTCAGATCCTGTGTCAACCCTCCCAAGTTAGGGCTCTCGTCCCCTCTTCCACTCATTTTCAGAAATATATTCCTGTTACACAACTACTAGGAGCAAAAGTCATTGGAGTTTAGATCCTCTAGGTTTTCTTGCTTATCTCAGGATTCATTGATGTTCCTTTTCCCCAGCTTTCTTTGAAGTGGCTATATATTTTAGAAACAGGAAATAAGAGTAAGTGGAATATTTGTAAGATAGTCAAAGTGTTGTTTAGATTTAGGATTTTAACAATTAGTCTTGCTATTTAATAACACTAAAGCCACTAGCTTAGGCTGGAAGACAGGAATATTAATGTTTTCCTCCCAAAGCAGTGTCAGACTCCCTTGAAATAAACTATGAGTTTTGGTCCAGGAAAGAGAAAGGCTACTAGGACATATTCTAAAAAAGAAAAGATCTAACAAAGATCCCCAAGGAACCCATAAATGCTCAGCAATATTTGGGACAGGCGGTTAGCAAGTTTTTAAGAATTGCCTCTGTTCGTATTTGCAATCTGAAGCAGCAATCGCCATTGATGACTAAGGTCTGAGGAAGTGAGGGCTGTCTTTTTTTTTTTTTTCTTTCTTTTCTTTTCTCTTTTCTTTTCTTTTTTTTCTTTTAACATAAAGAATAGTAAAAGCAATTCCCTTGAAGATACAAAAAAAGAAGCAATTTCAGAACTTGTCTAAGGAGTTTAAGGTTTCCAGTTTTTAGTAGCCCCTTTGCAATCCAAAGATCAATTAAAGGCATATAAAAGGGAAAGCCTAGGTTAGCAGTAGATGAGGCAAAAAGCATGGGCTTTACCAAGAGATAGACCTGGTTTTGAATCTTATAATATTGGAAAAGATGCATAATCTCTTAAAGAAACAGGGGTTTAAGCTAAAGGTTATAGGGAGTCCTAAGATTAGATATTTCAGTGGTTGGAAGTGGCTCCGCTGTTCAATCTGATGATACATTCCTTTGACCTAAAATGCAGACAGTCTTCCCTACACCCCAAGCTGGGCAAAATTTTCCTCCTCCATATTCCCATAACTAATTGTGCCTGGCTCTATCATAGGACATATTACCATGTTGTGTAATTGAGAGGTTATGTCTCTCCTATTAGATTATAAGCCCCTTGAAGCCAGGATTTCAATTTTATTCATCTCTGAACCACAAACACTCAGAGTAGCATGTGGCACATAGTAAGTGCTCAGTAACTATTTATTGACCTGAGTGGCTTTCAATACAGAGAGCAAGGTGTCCATGGAAGTCATCGTCCTCCTGAGAGCTGCTCTACTCAACCTACTTACATTCTGGAAAGAAGACCATTGGGTTTGGGGTAATAATGGAATGATTCACTTTTCCTTGGACTAGCCACCTCTCACTTGGGAAGAGCATGTGGTGCTGTTTTGAGAAATAATGGAGCTGATGTTCACGGGCATCCGTCTTAAATGACAAAAGTTCTTTATGAAGGTAAGGAGTGATGATGACTGCAGCAGAAGCTTCCTCTTGCTCTTTCATTTCTCCTCTATTTAGCTGTGTTTGAGTGGGCAAAAGAAAATGCTGGCCTACAAAAAGGACCTGCCTGTGGCCTCAGATCCGAGTTCCTTGATATTAAGTCACACGTTTTATGCTCTTCTGAGGATTGAACGACAAAATGAGTACGTACTGAGTGATGGTTGCCCTCCCTGTTCGGTCCCTAGGCTCTAGCAGTTCAAACAGCCTTGTTGAATCCCTAAAGAGGAAAAAAGACTCATCATGGAAAGCAGATGGTAAAACGCTCCTGCCATCTTATGGTGCTCTATCTATTGCCCCATCAGACCCAAGAAGGAGGTCTATCTCGGCCTAAAGCCTGAGGAATTCCTCCTCCTTTGATTCTTCAAAAGGAAGGAGTACCTTAGCCTCTGGCATGTTGCCTTCTGGATTAGGGGCAGAGGAAATCTCCTCCTGAAGGACTGAATTATTGCAATCGTCAAAGAATAAACCAGTACTCTACTAAGCATCTCAAAACCTAACTTTGATTTCAAATCCTGTCCTTTGATAATAATAATAATTTGCTGAAACATCTCAAGACCTAAATGTGCTATATTCAAATGACCAAATTACAAGTACAGGCTTCATGAGGCTCTTTTATTTCCTTTAATTTATCTATTTATTTGAGAGAGAGTGAGAAAGAAAGTACACAAGCAGGGAGAAGGGCAGACAGAGAGGGAGAAGCAGACTTCCTGTTGAGCAGAGAGCCCAATGTGGGGCTCGATCCCAGGACCCAGAGACCAGGGCCCGAGCCAAAGGCAGATGCCCAACTGACTGAGCCACTCAGGCGCCCCACCGGAGGCTCTTATTATTCAACAGAACACGTAGATCCAGAGAGTATTGGGAATTCTCAACCTAATAGAGATGTTATTAAATGTGTTTTGGAGTAATGAGTCATTCCCAATAGATAGTCTACAGTGTGGTTAGAGTCAAAAAAGCAAAAAAGTTCACAACAGCATTTAGAATTTATATATATATGTATATATGATATATACATATATAAATATATATGAACATTAGAAACCTCAAGGACTAAGATGCCCTGCCTGGATGTATGATGTCATTTGGCCAGGTCATAGGATGAAGGGGGTTTGGTTAACCAAATATTCTGATATTACTATAAGAATTACTGTAATAAAATGCACTTAACATTAAAACCTCTGCTGATGGGGGGCACCTGGGTGGCTCAGTTGGTTAAGCCACTGCCTTCGGCTCGGGTCATCGAGCCCGGGTCATCGGGTCATCCCTCTACCTG